GGTACCTCGCTAGAATTGGATAAAAGCTTATGGGTTCATTCGGGGTTTGGCTAGGCTTTAAAGGGAAAATCAAAAGAGAAGTGAGACAACATCTCCGGTTAGGATGGCAAAGATTATGTTGTCATTTCTAAACTTATTATTAAAGTTTTTTTGTTATAACACCAGAAATAAAAATTTGTCATTATAACTAAAATCACTACGTATCATACCGATACGTCTGATGTATTATTATTATGTTTATTTTTTTCATTATTATTATCGTTATATTATTTGAAAATATTCATTTAATCATATCCAATAAATAGAATGTCTCGGAAGCATCATGAAGATGTGAAGATGATTTTGTGTAGTATATTATAAAATCTAGAATATAAAAAAAATCAGAAATATCTGTTGTTTCGTATATTTTCTATGCGGCAGTATAATATATATATTAATATACTGGGCAATTATAAAGTATATCAGTGAGCTCATCATGCAACTGTGTAAACACTACCACACACCACCTGCGTAAAACACCTCGCCATACTTTCCTAATGTGTGAATTCACCTGATGATAATGATGTTGGTGGAGATTCGATTGTTGTTTATTGATCAGAGTCGGGAATCAAAGGTCGCCATTGATTCCATTTATTATCATCTTACCTTGGAAATAAATAAATAAATAAATAAAAAAGTTCTGAGAGGAAAATAATGAGCGTCGTTACACAACAATGACGATTATAGATCTCTTTAGCGAAACTTTTTTTTGAAGAGATCAAGGTAACAATTATCGTGTATGTGGATGTGTGTATATGCGCTAGCAGTAGTATCTCTCATGACAGTTCGGAAAATTGAGAGATTGCAGATTTGACTCGTTCTCGAACATCCAAATCTTCGTCATTTGCCATCTTTTTAACTTGTTCTTCGAAACCCAACTGTCGAAGTCGACGTACACGATCTTGAGTATCTGTTGGCAATCAAAATTTTGAGATATTGACGAAAAAATAGAAGAATGAAACATTTCTCAAGTCAGAAGACTTACTTAAATGTTTATCCTTCATCCAAGTTAAATTATTCAAACACCATACGGCGACTAAGCGTATATCGGGCATGTCATGTGTCATGTAAGCAAGTATATTGTTCAGTATATCAGAGCGAGTCATTATACTTTGCATGTGTCGTTCGTTTCCTGATGCAATATTGCTGATTATGTATAATGTCTTCGATATTGAAAGATAGAATATGAGAAGGAAAGAAAGATATATTCCATGAAACAGAAATTTCATTGCAAGGTGCAATCAAGACATACCTGTTTTATAATTTGCGGGTTAGACCAACAAAGTTTTTTCTCGACAATATTCATCAACTTTTCCTCGCCTAATCCTTTGAAAACTTCTTCGATATCCTAATAACCAAAAAAAGGACCCCGATTAAAATATTTCCACATAAAATCTCGACTCGATGGGAAAAAAATTCGAATGGTTTTTAAATACCGTTTCTCTTGACGACGCGAGATTTCGCAATAAATTCAACGCTTGTTCTTGTACATCTATTTCTGGATCATCAATTAATCTAGACGTCAATCAAAAAATAAAAATTAACAATTTTATTAAAAAAAAAAAGAGATCTCATCTAATGGGAAATGCTGCTTACGTCGCTAGCATCTGATATGTTAAAATTTTCATCACTGAATCTTTGATGTCAGATTCAGCATGACATATTAGATTCTTCAATCCCCAAATAGCATTAAGTCTAATATTATTGTCGGGAGAATGCACAAGTTCTACCAATTTTTCTATGCCCCCTAATTCCAGTATTGTCTATTAGTGTGGAAAATCAAACACAAAGTGACTTTTTTTTTAGTCTAAATTAATTATTAGCAAAGAAAAACATAATAAAAGTGATAGTAGCAGTAGTTACCCTTTTCATCGGGGAGAATTCCAATACCATATTACAGAAGGTAGCACAAGCTATTGTTTGAACATCTGTTGATTCATCTGATAAAAGCTAAATTATTCGAAATTCAATTATCAGTTAAAGAAATCTAGAATCATAATACAACTGCGAAATTTTACCTTGAACAAAGGACCAGTAATACCGGCATCGACAAGACTAGTGCGCAGAATGTGAACCGATCTTGAAAGACTTTTTGTCAATTGGCATGCCGCAGATCTTACTCCATATGATTTATGTGACATGGCAGTGACAATATGTGGTATTATTTTTGCATCGACAACCTGCATATTTTACCAATCGTTAATTATTGTAAGTTTAGCAATTGATGCATAAAAAAAAAGTAGAGAAACGAGCGAAAGATTTTTGTGAAAATTTACCAACTTTCGACCATTGTCATATAAAGAGCTCATTGCTGCCAGAGCGGTAAGTGCATGCTGCGAATTAATCGAAATTAGCGAAAACCGTAAAATTTATTTGTGAAATGATGCACTATGAAAAACAAACCTCTTTTAGTTTATCGCTATCACCAGTTGCGTTGTAATATGAAGTCTCCTCGTCAGCGACATGTGTAACGATTCCAGCAAGCTTGCTAACAGCATCTGCATCACAAGCAGCTTTTTGAAGTTCCTCGTTATCTCGAATAAGATAAGCTAAAATTCAATGGGTAATCAAATGCTTTAAAATTTATTTTTTTTTAATATCCAAAAATTATATTTCTCTATTTTTCTAAACAAAAGGAGTTGTTACCAAGAACATGTGGCGCCTCTTCTCGAACAGGTCCTTTTTCATCAAGTAATTTTACCAAAGTGGGTAAAACAACCAATGAAATATCATTTGTGTATTCAGGGATCGCGTTATCACGACTCAGATGTGTTAGACTATCAGAAGATATAACATTAAATTTCAATATAAAATTACAAAAAAAAAGAATTTTTCAATTCTTACACACCATCTCGCCGCTATTAAACGCATTGTCGGAGAATTGTCACGTATCAATTCCAACATAATTTTCACCGGATTCTTACTCAAATCGGCTGAATAAACACACTTTTTAGTTAGAATCCTATACACGACACGTATTAAATAAAAAAAGAAAAAAATTTCCAAAACATATATTCGGTAATAATATAAAACTGATATTTACACTGCGTCTGGACAATTTCCCGACCAAACTCTGTATTTTCACGACAAAGGTAAGCCAGAGCATCCAACGCCGCCTCTTGGGCCTTCGCATACTCGCAGGAAAGTAGTCTGACCAATGCAGGAAATGCCCCAGCATTAGCAATCTGAATTTGTTGATCATTTGTGTCACAGCAACGCGCTATAATCGTCGCGGCTAGTTCGGCCGTATGCGCAGACGCTATTTTTTCACGGTCGCTTTTTGGATTCAGCGCGGCGGGATTTAATAAGATTATCAGATTGTGTAGGTGGTTAGCCTAAAATGATTTATTTTTATTTTTTAATTTAGTATACATGACCGTATAATAAACATAAACATACTTTCAAAATAATTATTTACTTGAAATATATCATTTTTATCTGCTGTTGGACTTGTATATATTGCTTTTAATGCTCGTGCGGCGGCTTCTATTAATTTTGGATCATTTGTCGACGCTATACAATCTAACAAGGGTTTAACTCCACCATTTTTCACGATTTTGGACACATTTGCCTCGCCCCCTATACAATCATATTGTTTTTAATATTTCGATTTTGATGGCAATTGAGAATTATGTAAACACCTAAAATCTCAATCACACTAACCATAGGCAAAACTGCCTAGTACAATTGCTGCCTGTATTTTCACTTGAGTGTAAATATCTCCTTGTAACGCAGTTGTTTTTGCTGAATTTGTCGTCTCCGTTGCTGTGGTCATATCAACGAAGCTTACAAGTCTAAAGAAATTCCAATATCAGTAATCAATAAAAAAAACCCAACTGATAACACAGTAAACACACTTTGGAATTATATTAAAGCCAATGTAAAGATCCTTTTTTGTTTTGTTCCCAATAATATTGTTTTTGATAAACCGTAAGGCTTTAACGAGGACCTCAGGATCAAGAGAATCCAGCTCAGATACGGCTTTTTCGTGTTTTGTCCAGGCCATCATTATTGGTTGTTTTAGAGAACCTTCGAAACAGCAGACAGGAGGTCTCGGTGCACGTGTGTATATATTATATATACAAGTATAAGTATACGATTGTGTTTTTGTGATGGTCGTAAGTGAAGAGTAATTTATGCAAATAACAATACTATCACCATGCACTTTGAAACATATAGTAATCATTAACACTAGCATTCAAATCATGACCGATCATAGTTTTCGTTGTTATCACCTGATTTCTTTTCTTCTTAAATTGGCAATTAAGTAACAAAAGGAAAAGAAAAGATCGAAAGATTATTTCAACAATGACTTTTTATTGTTGATTTATAAGATTTGGCAGATTCTCTCATTATTCGTTACAAATTAAATTAAGAAAGTGAATAATTTACTTGATTTTTCTCAGTAGAAGGAAATCGCGTCTAATGTATATATGGTACATTCTATATAAAAGGTGTTTTTATAATTCATACTATTATCTCTCATGTCTAGTTTGTATGCTTTCCCCTCCTCTTACTCTTTAACTAATTGACCAATTGATTAAACTATGAAGTTACTCTTCTTCATCTCCGAGAACACACTTCACTCGCCAACTTGCTTTCTCCATTCCACAATCATTCTTGCAAGTTGATTCGCAATTTCTCGCTTCACATGGTTTATCCGATTCCAACGTTTTCAGGTACATATTCCAACACTGAGTGCTGCAGATTCTGATGCGGCGTAGTATCGCCGGATGGCCCAAATATCCTAAAAAAACGTGATTAAATATTAATAATCACATTCCCTTTAGATTATAACAATTAAGATAGTTAATAAAAAAGAAAATTACCTTTCACCTGCACCGAACTAATCCATTGTTTGACATATGGCTTATGACAGAAATAGCATGGTCTGCCTCCCTGAATTAAATATTCATAGATTCTTTGTGGCAAAGATCTCGGAGATACAGGAACCTCGTTCAATAGAGTACTACGCGCAGCTAGCTCTGCCAAAGTAGGTATAAAATTTGGCTTTGAAGTTGCTCGAGTGTTACAACCAGTATTTTCCATAGCATTGGTAGGTAATATTGATGTTGTTGATTTTGATGGCTGCAATTGAGAATATATTCCTGTTACAGGTGGGAATGAATCATAATCGGTGAAATGTGGCCCAGGCGTACTGAATCGTGTACTCGAAGATGTGGGTGGAGTAGATAAAGAAGAGAAGTAATTTTGAGCGTAGTATAGTTGAAAATCTAAGTTTGCATCATCGTCAAAATCGTCCGACTGCATAGTGGTTGCTATAGCCTGTTTCGATAACATCGAAACAACTTTTGAATAAGCTTCACTTGGATCATTATCAGATTCTTCGACATCATTACTGATTGGGATATGGTTAATTACACGGCGTGACGATGAAACACCGCAATCACCTTTTGTGAATGGATTGCCAGTCAACAACAAAGTTGTTCTTTTCAAGAATTCAGCAATATCACCGGGAATGATACAAAGCAAATTATGCGTTAAATCCAAAGTTTCTAATTGTGAGAGATCGGCAATTTCCACTGGTAACGACGCAATTTGATTCCGTGAGAAATTCAATGAACGCAATCGCGTGCAGAGTCCAATAGATTTCGGAATCGACTCAAGTTTATTATCCATCGCACTAAAATATTCTAATTGTGAACCAGAATAGCCGATATCATCGGGTAAATTTCTCAAAGAATTATGTGACAGAATCAATTCCATGAGATTTGGCATCTTTGATATGCAGTCCGATGGGAATGATTCCAAATTGTTACCACCAAAGATTGAACCCATTACCAAACTTTGTAGATTCTTTAATTCACCTAAACTGGATGGTAGTGCGGTGATTTGATTTGATTCGAGTTTCAAAGTTTTCAAACTTGTCAAACAACGAGGAAGTTGATTTGGCATCGGACCAGCAATCTGATTTTGTGATAAGTCGAGAAATTCTAAATGCATAAAGTGCAAAAGCTCGATCGGGAAAGAAGTCAACGCGTTATTTGCAAGATTAAGATACCGTAAATTTGGACAGAATCTAGCAATATTTTTTGGGAGATCTGATAATCGATTTCGCGATAAATCGAGTTTGACAAGTTGAAAAATTTGGGTCGGGAAATCGAGTCTACATGAAATGTTGATTTTTGGTGTAGTTGCCGAAAGAATATTAAGTTGATTCTCGAGTTGATCGGCAGTCAAGCGTCGTCTTCGTAATGTTAATGAAGTAATAGGCTCGGTTTTTTTGTTCTCTGATTCTTTTGTTGATGATTGAGGATCTGATGCAGTGATTAGTGATTCGGCTATTTTAATTCTGCTATTCCTTCTACTATTTAGTGGTGAAGCATGTTGTTGAAGTCTCTCATCGAAATTGAAGCTAGACAACTTTACATGCTCACCCAAAGGAGCGATTATTGGATTATCTATACACGATTCAATATCTATCAAATCGTTGCCATTTGTCAACATTGATGTTAACATTGTTGTTGCTGCTGTTGCTGCTGCTGTTGTTGCTGCTGATGTTGAAGATTGAGCTGAAGAATCTCGAGTTTTATTAGTCGTTAAAGAAATTTTTCTTTTTTTTGTTTGATTTGAATGAACTCCTCCCACTACGGGACTACTATTCGTATTGTTATTATTGGTGACATTGTTTAATTGTGGATTAGCAATGTGCAAATTTTTTCTTGTTCTTTTTATCATTTTTTCTAATATAATCAATTTTTTATAAGTGGTTTAGTAAATAAAATTAGGATTTAGAAAAAAAATTAACGGCTAGGTTTTGATAGGAAGAAAATCAGGAGCAGAACCTTCAACGTTTTTCTCTTCACTATATATAAACATTTTATATTCAATATGTATGTAAAACAATATGTATTATAAAAATATAACAAATATAACGATAATTTCCGTCTGCCAAAACAGGAAAACCAATGCACAAACAAAAAATTATCAGATTTTTTTGTGATACTATATACTATGTATAATATTATGTTCACGAGCTTAGGCGAGTATCGGGATTACAATTTATATCATCACTGCATTTTGGGGGGGGGATGGAATTTCATAAGTGATCTTTCCCCCAGGATCATATGCTTTTGAAGAAAGAGAAAGAAAGTTTAGTTATTTAGCATGTTGAAGTGAAACTGGAATCAATTTTTTTTTTTAGCTTTCGAGCTTTATTTTTATTCGCTGATTCAATAAATAGTTATTTTTGTCGATTTATTTTGACTCATTTGAGGAGTAGTGCCCGATTTTCTCCGGATAATTTAAAATTCAGCCAAAACGTGCAATAAATAATTAAGATGTGGAATTACTTTATCTTTGTGTAGAGCGTACGAATATGGAAATCTCCAAAATAATAATAACGGCCTTTATACTCGAAAAAAAGAATTACAATAGCTTATAATAGCTTACAATAGCTTTCGAATAGATTTCAATAAAGTCATATGTGTGTCATTTTCAAAAATAGATGTTTGGCTTTCTTTTATCCATGCTAATACATCATAAAGAATGTGAGTAGGTACATAAATAAATCAAATGATTGCATATTTCCTATTTCAAATTAATGACTTTTGCATGGAAACTCTTTATGTTTGTAAATTGCGTTGATCGTGTTTTTTGAATCTGACTATTTTTATCTTTTTCTCTTGTGAGTTAGTAACAAAGCCTCGTCAATTGGTGGTATTGTTGTATTTAGATTGTTTGTGATTGATACCAGGTGGTGTGATTGCTGTGTCCAATCCAAAATCATACCATAAGCCATCAAGTAGCACAAAATTTTAATTGCAAAATTGACAAATCAAAAATTGAATTCATTTACGTACGTAATTTGCGGATCAATGATCAATGAAAATTTACTAAATTATTCTCATTTGCAAGAGTACATAGAGGTGGGAACACTAAAGCCGGTTAGTGCAATCCGGATCTAGTCAATCCAGATATAATCCGAATTTATTTGATCCGGCTTTGCGGAATATAAGAAGTCGGGACAAATAGAATTTTCATGTATACTTTGTAATTTATTTTTATTAATAAAGATATTTTGGTTTGAACATGTCGTAGGATAATGGGGAATAATGCTAATCTTTTTCGTCTTTAGAGTTTAGCGAAAATCGAGATGTACAAATGCCAAGTTCAGATATTTTTTTGAAATTGGAGGTTATGATATCATTTTCACACATTTTTTTCAGGTCTACAATTCGAAGCAAATTATTCCCTTCCAATTACACTAACCTTAATGGATAAATTTTTTAAAACGTGAAACCACAATACGTATATAAATAAGTTGAGTTTCAAATCTATACTCACATCACAAGAATAATCAAACTAATAAAACTTACCATTTACTCTTTGAACGAGAATATATCTATAAACAATGAATAAGTAAATGCCCGTTGGTTATAAATAAAAAACCAAGCTCTACATATACTGTATGCTAAATTTACTAATTGTCTTTTTTTCGGTTCATAGATGCCTTCGGATAATATTTCGTTCTTGATATTATCCGCATCTTTTCTTTTGCTGGTTCAATATTCTCAGTATTTCTAGGAATCATCGCCATGTGGTTGATTTTTACTTCGGAAATCTGACAGAAATCGCAATGAAAAACAATGCGGAGTGGACTTTTGTGAAATGAAATATGATGGTAAGATACGAAGTGGAAGTTTTCATTTAGTTATTTTTTTATTTACCTTGAGGTTTTGCTGATCCTTGCTATGGAAAATTCGAAATTCTTATGCCATTTGACCAAAATCATTCAGTGGGGTATTAGTGGGAGAATTTTGGTAATTTACTTCGGAAATCTTGTAGCTATAGAAAAAAGAAGTGGAATTACTTGGATAGTTAGGAAAAGTAGCATTAGTAGTAGATAATTGTTACTATGGCGTAGCAGGAAAGAACTCTCATTTTATGGGTTAGGGCTCGAGTACTTTCTTTAAACTCGCCACTCTATTATCTTATATTGTATTAAGTTTAGCAATAGCCGAAGTGCCAACTATTATTGAAAAATAAATTTTTTGCCCACATTGGGCTTTGTCTTTAACCATGTGTGTCAAGGCCAGATTTGTGATCAGTAGATACAAACAATATATGCCTCTCTAGTCCTACTTACTATGAAAAATTATTCATTCCACGAAGGCGTTATCATGCCTACGCTTTTTTTTTTTGGTACACCAAATTGACAAAAACAACAGTTGGCAAATGATCGAGCGCACGATGCACACTCTTGACAACTGATCATGAACCACAACTGAATAATTGAAAATATTTTTAAATCTATATATTGAGTTTAGATATCAACTATCTTATAGTGATTTGTAGCTCTAATTATGGTATACAACTTTACGTATTTACATATTTACTATTGAAATTTTTGAACTCAAAATACTCAGTAGTTATACTGCCTTCTGTAAGAGAATTTGGTTACAAGCGAGCCTTCTGATAAAGAATAACCGCAATTTTGCCCATCCTATGCCAGATCACATTTTACAGGACACGATCTGTTTTACAAAGATAGCAAGAATGGATAAAAGAAAATTCAGTTATAATGTAATGAAATGACTCATGTTTATAATATACCACCCTCTCGAAGTAAAACTTTGTCGAAAAGTCTCGTTCATGCGCAACTGGTGAATCACTTTTCATGGCAAGAATTTGCGAACCGGAAAATAATCAAGCAAAAGTAGACAAAATGGACGCCGATTTCGAAGGTGTGGTATTCTATAGGGAGACGTTATTTTTCCACATTCTATATATTGTTTTGTTTGCGGAGACCCAGGCAACAACTTTATTTAGACTCTTTGAGTGCTCTGGCCGAGACTTTAGACGAAAAATTCGAAATGCGATTACATCGATTTTTTAATTGATCGACATCATATGTTCGATTTTACATGTGATGGAAATGTGTTAATGTTAACGCCATTAGTGGAATCTATTTCGATAAATATATCATTGCTGATGAAAACCACGAAATAACTATCAAAGCAATAATAGGCTATTTATCATTTATTATCAAGAGACATGAAAGAAGATATTATCAGATAAAATCACGCACTACGCGTTATTGTTTTATTTTTTATGAAATAAAAACTCTACCTATAGTAAATACTAATACAAATAATAAAAATTTACGAAAAAAATCTAATTATTTGAGAATGGTGGGGTGGTATGGGAGATGCGAAAACGTGATATAATTCTACAGGAGAATTCCCATTGAAATAATTAGCATATGGTTGCATACGTCTTGCGTATTTCACATTTCCATCAAAGCTCAAATACCAAAGTTAAATCCATGCTCCTTATGCGATCAAGATATTCTTCGATCACACTACAAGCATTCATGGTGTTAGCCTGTGGGCATATACATCATCACACTTGTATCGAGAATCATATCGTACGTACTGAAGCAAAATGTCCAGCGTGTTCCATAATCATCGAAACTATTAGGGAGGAAGTATATAAAAGATTGAAATTGTCATCTGCTGGTGGCTCTGATAATGAGTCTGCGAGGCGTAAATTATCTCCGCAAAGTATGATCATTGTGGGGGATAATAACGATAAGGATGTGGAACTTATGAGGAATTTAGGATTGGTAGATAATGCTTCTTTTGCTGGCCAAGAGAAGCAGACGAATCAAACAACTTCGGATAAGGAAAAGAATCCAACTATTACCACTACGACTACTACTCAAGACCGGTCAACAAGTCCCATAGCGACTGGTGAGGGAAATAACGATAATGCAAACAGCGAGAACAACGTCATCACTGCAAAAGATAATCGTCAAGCCGTCCTAATATAATAGAGAAGATGAAATCACCAATGCTCAAGCCCGATCCTCCCGAGAATCATCACCACAAATCGTCCGTGAGCAGATAAGTTGCAAGGTTACTTGCAAGAACTCTCTACGCCATTAAAGGTGAACCCACCGAGACTAACGAAATGAAGGGTCTGAGGATTCTATATCGGAAAACCTAGCACGTTTCTACCAAAAACGACCAAAGCAGAAAAACGTGCAACTTTTGCCTATCAAGATGAGATCCGGTGTTGGTATCACTTCGCTGAAAAATTCGAACAAAATTTCAAAGACATTATGGATAATGATAGTAGGCTTAACGATCAACAAGCTAGGACTCGTGTGTATGATGAAGTCGCAAAGCATCTTCCTGGCTTCACAAGGGAAAGCTTGCGTAAGAAAACTGCGAAGGCGCGAAACATTTGGATTATGTCGTGATCCCACTACTCTGGAAATAGTTAAGGGGATAGGAATAGAAAAAATAAATCGCATAGCGCATATCGAAACTCACCACTACGCAAATTCGAAGTATTATTGACATTTTTGCTAACTAATCATTGTAATCTTGCTGATTGCGCGTCCCCAAGTTGACGCCAACGTGACTACTATGCTGTATATATAACGCACTATATGTGCTAGTGTAATTCATTTTGGCTAATATCGATAGATCCACAAAAATATCACTAACATGCACGTAATTATAATCAATGATTTTCGGAGTGTTATACGAGCATTCTAAATATAGAGATGCGCTGTTTTTTTCGCAACGTAGAATCAGAAGTAAAACATATATTCAAAAAAATAAGTTCTCCCAGGCATTGTCTTTTATTCCTTTTTACATATCGGCAAGCGCCGAAATTAATCAACGATATTCTCTTATCCAAAACACGAATAGAAGAGGATCCGATCAACAAAGCGAGTCCTCATCATCTTCTGCTCGTTCATCAAATTCCTTGGGTAAAGATTTTTGCCCACATCGGGCTTCTGATTCAACGATGTGTATGCGAGTTAGAAACTTGCACGAAAAAAAAAAGATTTGCAATTCTAGCCAATATAATTTTGCTTCTTATTTTATTAAACTTGCATTAATATATACAAGATCCGGTAACCATAAAGACATAACCAGATGGATCTCTAGATAAAAAATTCCGATATATCATATCCAAGCGAATTTTCTTCTTCACCTAGCAATTGAACATGATCTTTATTTCCATCAGGATATATCAACTGAACAGATTCAAAATTTTCAGCACAGAGAACATAAATAACGTCTTTTCCCTTTTGTTCTGGAGGTCCTTTCTTACTATTTCGAATATCAATAATTGCCCACTCTTTTGCATATTTAAGAATAGAGGCATATCGACCATCTTTTTGAAATCTTTGATGTTCTTGCAATTTATCTCCATCTCGCAATAATTCAATGGCCCAGTTACGCTGATCATTTACATAAAAATCTAAGTAGCCCTCTGATCCAAATACTGCTCCAACATCTACAGAAGCATAAATGTCCGCAGGAAGAACTTGCATTGATGCACGGTAGAACTCCATTTGCCATGCACGTTCAAGAAGAAGACAATCATTACCTACACCCAAGCTTTTTTGTAACACCTTAGAGTTCATTTTTGCGAACACAGAAATGATGAAGTCCTTGAATGTATGAGATGGTGATTTAGATCGCGTCACTGAACCAAACCGATTTTGAAGATATGTTGCTCGAAGCAATGGTGCTGGAAAGTTAATGGTTGAATAACCTTCTTTTGTCATTCCAGTATCAACAAGAATATTTGTCTTAATAATTCGACTCTTATGCGATATTGCATCAGTTAGAATTTCAAGACCCTCTTTCTTAAAGAGTACAGTATCAGCAATTCTCTTTTCTTCATCTAACATATCAGTAATTTTAGGCATTGCATGAATATCCTAGAAAAAGTAACCATATAAAAATAACAATATTAATAATAATATTTAATAATAACTGTAATATTTAATGTTTTTACAATACAAATAATATTTATTTATAATTATTTACAATCCAAAATAGAAATAAAATAATAAAATTTTATCTTTATAATTAGCAATTAATGATTAAACATCATAATCATATAATTTTTTACTGCTTTCTTCACTAATATTATTATTTTCCTCCTCCTCCTCTGCTTCACTATCTATATTTAATTTGATATTTTCATTATTATTAATAAATGGTACTGAATTTAAATCAAATGTATTTTCAATTAATACAAACATATCTTGATTTGGAATTTCTATTTGTTTATATTCTTCTCCATCTTCATTACTTTCATTATTATTGTCTTCAATTTCTTCTTCCATATTATTCATTAATTTTTCTATCATGATTTTTAATTCTTGTACATTATAATTTGATTTGTATATTTTACTTCTTTATTAATATTTATAATATAAAATGATCAAATTTAGCCATTGTTTTGACTTTTGTAGTAGATAATTGTAATCATCATTTGTCATAAATTCAACTAAGAGTGAAAAATATATATTTATATCCAGCACTATGAGATGTAATACCTAATATTTGTAAAGTCAGTTATTATAAATAGTCATATTTATTATCTATAACAAATCACCAAATTCTAAATATATTGATTGATGAATTATATGTTACATTATAAGATGTCATTCAATTTATATAATTATATTTGATCAAATAATATTTCATATAATTTTTTATCTTTGCTGAAATAGCATCATATTCTCCAGCAATGTTTAAAATTAATGAATATTTACTCTTTTGTAATTCTATATCTATTATATAATATAATATTAATTATATTTTAAAATTTATTTAAATAAAATAAAAATAATAAAAAATATATTACCATGATAAACAGGATATAAAAAATATACCAATAAATAAATTGATATATTAAACTTTTCCCATCTTTTATTGAAAGTCTGAATGATATGTTATTAGAATTGGATCATATTAGTATTAATATTAATTAATTTTTTAAGTATATATTTTAACTAAATTATTTGAATAAAAGTATTAACTAAATTAGTTTGTTTTTCTTCTACTATCAGAATGACTATTTTAATTGGTTAAAGAATTTTTAATAAAGTTATAACTTCATTATAAAATATATGCTTTTTCAAATATCATTTTACAATTTTATTTGTAATTTCATTAGATTTATTAAATACTATCTTTTAATTATAAAAATAAAAAAATTTAATATATATTTTTTGTATTATTAGAATTTGACCTTTACAACACAAAATGCTCTGTATTATTGAAATTATGATATTTTGTCTCATTCTAGGTGATGCAATCAAAAATGCTTTCATGGTTGATATCAAAAAAGACAAGATCATTTTATATCTCAAGGATATCATTAAGAAGAAGGTGGGTTTTGACATTTTCACAAACAAACTAAGACTATGGAAGGTTGATATTCCTCAAAGCAAAGAAAACCAAAAAACTATAATATTCATCAAAATAAACATTAAAGAAGAATTAGCAAGTGAAGAGTTAGCTTTTTTCAAAATTATAAATGATTATTTTAACAAATCTAGTACTCATATCTAAGTAATTGTACAATCACCCATCACTACTGATAAGTATTTTCAATATTTTAGCTCTCAAACAAGAGAATTTGGTAATGTTGACTAATTTCTCTTTTCTAATTTCTTTATTACTTTTATATAATAATAATTTAACAGATACATCTAAAAATAAGACAAGGATATCAAGGTTAGATATAAAGCTATAATCTTTTGACTTTTTACCAATGTGCATTTTATTCACTTGAAGAAATAACTTATTAAAAAAAAGAATATGATATTATCTATGAAGATATTGATTTTACTCTTGATACCATATGTAAGAGAAAATTAACTATCAACAAACTGCTTGAATGTCTGCTTGAAAAATATATTATTCTAGTTCAGTTATTACTAATGATTAGCAAAACTATACTTGTACAACTACTTGAACATAGCCTGCTCCAATTAAACGAAGTAAAAAAAGAATTGAAGCATATTTTTCACATTTCATTACTATAAATAGAAAGAAATAATGAATTATAAATATTTACAAAAGATTTAAAGAGCTTATGAATATGACTTGAAATGAATTTATCAATAAATGTGATGATATATCAATATTTTTGTTTATTGATGATATGCAAAAGATTTATAAGCCAGAGGATGAAGACAAATTTCACTATGATGAAAATATATTTTGGGATTTATTTAAACATATACTACAATTCTCAAGTTTTTATATTATAATATTTGCTTTATATAAGCATTATGATACTTATACTACTCGTGGAGATCATGCAATAATAGATATTTCATTATACTTTTTTTAAAAATGCAATATATGAAAATTCAGAGACGTTTATTTTATTAGAGAAGAATTTAATAGTTATTTTAATCACATTTGTAAGGAAAATCTTCAAATATTGAAAGAAGAAGATATTCTACTTTTTTTTTGTTATTGTTACTGTTTTGAGTTTTTGTATATAAAAGTATTTCAAAATGGCAATAGTGACTATATTCATGATAATTTACTTTGAATATTATAATTAAATAGTGTTTATGACAATAAAATAATATTTATTGACAAGATGAAAGATGATGAAGATAAGACTAAAAGGTAAATTTAATCAAAAACTACTTAAAATTTCAAAATAGAATCAATTTAACATGTTAAACTCGATATTAACCAAAAGAAACTCAAAACCAAAACTTAAAACTAGAACTGAAAAACTTAAACTAAACCAAAAAAACTTAAACTCAACTAAAAGAACTTGATTTTTATTAATTATCAGCACTTGTATTTATACATGTTTTCATGTTACAATAGCATAATGTAACATAGTAATGCATAGTATAATATAATATAATACAGTTATAATATAGTATTACATTTATTTTTAATAATTCCGTAATTAATGAATCTTTCAAAAATAGTAAAAAATATGAAAATAGTAACAAAACAACAAATCGATAAAAATAGTACATACATTTAATAATCATATAATAACTATTATTTACTTTT